TCTCTCTCTCTCTCTCTCTCTCTCTCTCTCTCTTTTTCTCTCTCTTTTTTTTTTCTCTCTCTCTCACTGTGGGACATCAACAGACGCAAAACATAAAGATTGAGTTAGCTTGTTGCACTTGACTCCTAAGCTACCTGCCTCCGACATTGTTTCTAGTCTAAATTCATCAACATATAAACTTGACTTCTGCATGGGGTTTCTTTTGTCTAGAGTTGGGACTTCTGATTTTCTGTGTTCCAGGTCCGAGAGCATAAAAAATGACGAAGTCGAAGGGAAACTCGTTGAGGATCAAGGACATTTCAGGGACCTCAACAAGTACTGGATGGCGCAGCCAGGGCGCCCCTGTTGATTTTGAGGGTGTGTTTGAAATCCCCACTTTGCACTACAACGCTGATGCCGAGAAAGCGCCTACTATCCAGGCTCAGTTTGAAGTGACTGAATCGGAAGAAGACACTCTTGGTCCGGAGGAGGAAGAGGAAGTGGAGGAGGATGAGGAGGATGAGGAGGGTGACGAGGGTGACTTTGGTAGCGAGCACGAGGAAGCAGTAGACGAGGGTGAACAGGGTGACGAGGATGAGGAAGAAGGAGACGAGGAAGAAGAGGACGAGGAAGAAGACGACGCTGTCTTTGAGCGGACTGTTGAATAAGAGAGGGCGAACCAACATGCGTACATCGAGAAGTTTTTGAGGAGGGCAAAGTAGTCCGAGGAATTAATCTGTTGCCTATGGAGCACTGTGCTGTTCCAATCGGCTGTGGAACCATGGACCAAACATGCAGACCAGGAGCGATACAAATACTGCGGGGAACTAATATACTTCGCCTCTGCACGAGAGAGCCACGATGATCTGGCACTTGTTTGGGTGAATGTGGGGTCGATTTTGATCAAGTTCGTTCTGCATTGTGCAAGCATGGTTGTTTGGGAGCAGAAGCTAAATTCCCATCTCTAAAAGGCGAATCAGAAGGGCTTCAAGGTACGACAGTTTGTTTGAGGCAGGTCTCTTCTTTCAGTGAACAGCAGTAAAGCGCTGTAATCCTGCTCTTGTAGTCTAGTGCTACAAATCAGTTCTCGGAGTGCGCCGCTACGATTCTCTTGTGATATTTTAGTGTTTTAATCCTAATTGTCCAGGCTATTGCTTACAAATCTTTTCTTGAAGTGCACTGCTAGAAATCATTTCTCGGAGTGCGCTGGTACAATTCTCTGGTGACATTAAAGTGCTCTAATCTTGCTTTTGCAGTCCGGTGCTCTTTTTACATTACGATGTTATAACTCTCATTAACATTGTAATGCTATAATCCTGTTTTTGCAGTGATGTAATTCTCTTTCGCATTATAGTGCTATAATCCTTCTTTTAGTGTTCTTTTGCAGTCTGGTGCTAAAGAGTGCTACAATCCTACTTTTAGTGCTCTAATCCTGCTTTTAGTGTTCTTTTGCAATCTCTTTCGCATACAGTGCTGTAATCCTCCTTAAAGTGCTAAAAGTGTTCTTTTGCAGTCTGGTGCTCTTTTTTTTAAGTTTAGTGTCAAAAGACTACTTTTGCAGTCCGGTGCTCTTAACTGTTGTCGCTGTAAGGTGCTCTCTTTTCAAATTAGAGTGCTAAAACACTACTTTCGCAGTTTGGTGCTCTCTTTTCACATTATAGTGCTATAAGACTGCTTTCGCAGTCTGGTGCTCTCTTTTCCAATTMAAGTGCTACAAGACTACCTTCGCAGTCCGATGYTCTTAACWRTTTTCGCAGTGCGGTGCTCTCTYTTGAAATTATAGTRCTATAAGACTACTTTCGCAGCTTTTCACATKATAGTGCTATAAGACTACTTTCGTTGTCTCGTTCTCACTCCTTGTTTTGCTCAACGTGTTCCTTTGCAGGAATTTTGTAAAACTGTCAGAGCGTATACCTTTCCGGCACTTCGTGAGGAGGTCCGTGTTTCGAGGAGAGCAGAGTCACTCACCACAGGGTCGTCTGCGTCCCAACCTGCGAAAGGTCGAGTGAGGGTCTCCAAAGGGACTGCTCCCTCAGGGTCAAGGCAGCGGGAAGGGTCACCTTTTCATTCGCCCCAAGCATGTGTTGGATCCACTGTTGCAGCAGATGCGGGCTCGGGTGCGAAAACGAAGAAGAAAATGCTCGCGCGGAAAACGGTTGCCAAAGATAAGAAGAAAGCGGAGGAGCCAAAGTCCGGAAAGAGGAAAATGACGGAGAAGAAGTCCGCGAAACGTGAAAGGAGCTGAATAACAAAAGGGAGGCCGAAAGTCGAAGAACAAGGTCTAACCTCGTCGTCTCAGAAAAAGCTGGTACTCACTTCTTGGACTGGACGGAGGTGAAATATAAAGAACACTGCGGCAACGTGAAAGTCCTGGAAGGCGATATGATGGACTTGAAAAACTTGACAGAGAAGTTGCCTTTCTCTCTGATTATCTGCGACTTCCCGTACGGGTTTAATCTGCCAATGTCCTTTGGCGATTATGTTCCTTTTCCTGAGGAACACATTGTTCAGGTCCTTGAGAACATCAAGGAGGTATGCAGTGGACCGCTGTGGATAATTGCCGGATTCTGCTCTCTGGACATGCTGCCCTCGGTTCGGCGAGCGTTCAAGATGGTTTGCAATGCAGGAGAGGAGGTGGTCACGTGGTGCAAGCCGAATGTCATGAACACAGGAGGGCCTCGTCTTGTGAGCGCGACAGAGTTTTGTGTCATTGGCTACTACAGCCAAAGTGGTTCTCGAGAGGCAGCTCATTACAATTTTGCCAGCATGGACCCCAGGCACAACTACAGGTTGTTCGATGTTGTCATGAAGAAGTGTATTCATCCGACTGACCTCGAGGTGTTGTGCCCTTAACGGAAGCCCGTCGCCTTGTACGCGTGGTTGACCGAGAAATTCTCTCCTCCTGACGCTTATATCATCGACGGTTTTCCCGGGTCCGGAACAGGTGCAATCGCCAGCGTTTTCTGCAACAGGAATTGCCTGGTGGTTGACAAGTGCCCGCGCTGCATCAAGGGAATCCGCGCTCGCATTCTGAACGATATTGGCCCTACGATTGAAAGAGAAAGCAGGCGCGAGGAGACCGCAGAGAAGGATAAGACTTACAATTGTGTAGTCGCTGCAGAGGACACAACTGCAGCAACAACGCCGATCACTGCTGCAGCAGTAGCAACAGCAGCCGAAGCAGCAGCAGGACCACCCGCAGCAGAAGCACCACCAGCAGGAGCACCACCAGCAGCACCAGCACCAGCAGCAGCAGCAGCAGCAACAGCACCAGCAGCAACACCAGCAGCAGTAGCAGCAGCAGCAGCAGCAGCGGCAGCACCAGCACCAACACCAGCAGCAGCAGCAGCAGCATCAACAGAACCACCCGCAGCAGCAGCAGCAACAGAACCACCCGCAGCGGCAACAACAATACCACCAGCAGCAGTAGCAGCAGCAACAGCGAGCGCACAAGGGGCAGCGAGCGAGCCAGCAACAGCTGGACCAGGCACAGAAGCGCTCGCACCGCGAGAGGCAGCGGGACCTGCACACAGCCAAGACTCCTCACGTGGGACAACTACGAGGTGAAGGAAACGGAAGATCGTCGGTGACGAGGTTACAAGCCCTCCCGCGAAAAAAGGTGTTCTTGCATTAGGGGCACGGACAAGGGAGGCTGGCGGAGGCAAAAGTTAGCCAAGACAAATTGCAGTCCTCTGTTGCTCTGAATTGCAGTTTGCAGTCCTCAGAAGCTCCTCCCAGTTATAGGGCTATAATATTGATGACTGTGCCGAGAACTTCTGTGTTTTTGCTACCCTTGTACTTTTGTGTTGGTGCGTGCCAGCTTGAGCCCTCTTCTTTGAGGACTAATGTTGTTTGTGTTGGTGTGGGCCAGCGATGACTGTCTCTTGCGGCCGCTTCTCGGTTGTAGTTTTCTGCTGGTGTGGGCCAGCTCGAGCCCTCAAAGGATTGTCCCTTCCCACCATGAGGCACTCGTTTCGCTATTGCCTTGCTTCCTTCCCACCCTGTTGCCCTCCTCTACTAGGGCACTCTTTTTGTTGTTGCCCTCCTGTACTGGGGCAGACTTTGCAAAGGTTAGTGTAGAACTTTTCACCACGGCAAGTAGAGCACTGTGTTGTAGTTTAGGGCACAGAAGGTGTTAGATTGGTTGGTTACTAGGGCTGGTACAGAGACCAGCGGTGAAGAGAAGTTTCGTCTTGTTGTGGTTGTTTGAACACTGTGCTGCAGCATCCTTCGATTTTATTCACTGCGTGATCTCCTTTTCTCTCTGTCTTTGTCTTTCTCTCTTACTTTCTCTCTCTCTCTCTCTCTCTCTCT